ACTAATTTTACAGCTTCACTTAAAAACTCTTTATTAACCCTAGCATGCAAAAGATCTGGATAATATTCAAAAAAATAATTAACTGCTGCTATTTCAAGTTCATGTTCGATATTAGTATACAAATATTGTACATCTAGTGTAAGTAGACTGCAGTTGTGACCAGTTTTAACAGGAAATTTTAATATAAAATCTAAATCATTCCTCACGTAACTTTTGACTCTTGGAATAAACGGTTTTAATAATTCATCCACGAAAGAACTAATACGGTGTGTGGAACATTGATGTCCTGCGACAATAGATTTACTAGGGCAACAAGAAGGTTCAGCAAACTGTACATAATCATTATTCGAATTAAACAAGAGTTATTAATTTATTGGCATTTATGTATTTTTGATTAAACATAAAATACACTTGTAACTGGGGTAAAATTAATTAATTAATCTATTTCCATAATTAAAAACTATCAATTCCTCACTAAGTGAACAAGAAATCTAGTTAGGAAGGAAATTGAAAAACTTAAGGTTGAAACTGAACATTTGGAGATACAATCAAGTGACTACTTAGCAGAAGTGAGAAAGACGACGATGACATGATTGCTAATATTTTAGCAACAGGTGAACAAGACCAAGCTAAACATTTCACTAAAAAATCTAGAGAAAATTGTAAGGAAGAAGAAAAGAGTATAACAGTTTGGGTTTGTTTGTAATTAAGCACAAAGCTACACAATGGGCTATCTGTGCTCTACCCACCACAGGTATCGAAAACCCGGATTCTAGCGCTGTAAGTCCGGGGACATACCGCTGTGCCACTGGGGGGCAACAGTTTGGGATAAAAAACAATGCATGTAAAAATTACGCAAAAAGAATATAATCCCGAAGAATTTGAAAACTATGTGAATACTTTTCTCGACCACGCACTTCTACTTTCAATTTCAGCTCAGACTAGTATACCGACCTAGCCTCCACACTAAAAACTTATATCTGTATAAAGATCAACTACCTAAACTTCTACGTTCTTAGTTCGTGTATCCAGTGCCTTGCAAAAGTATTCATCCCTACCAATAATTATCACATTTCTATGAAATACAAATAATGTAAACAATTTTTAATGAACTTGCTTTTATTCAAAACTCTCATGATCAAACTTAACACTGGTATCTGTGAAAAAGGTTGAAAGTTAGCAAAACCTGTAAAGAAAATATATAAATTGAAATTTGTTGATTTCATAAGTATTCAGCCCCCTATATCGGTACTTGTTTGTTTGTTTATAATTAAGCACAAAGCTACACAATGGGCTATCTGTGCTCTGCCCACTACGGTATCGAAAACCGGATTCTAGAGTAGTAAGTCCGCAGACATACGGCTGTGCCACTGGGGGGCTTGTCAGTACTTTGTGGAACCAACTTTGGCAGAAATTACTGCTGTGAGTATTTTTTTTTTTTTAAGTAGGTCTCTACAATCTTTGCACAATGGAATGCTATAATTTTTGCCCATTATTTCTGGCAAAATTGCTCCAATTCTGACAAATGTGTTAGGGGTCGTTGATGGACTGCAATCTTCAAATCTCTCCATAAATTTTCTATTGGATTGAAGTCAGGACTTTGAACGGGCTACTCCAAGACATTTATTTATTTTTCTTTTGAAACCATTCCAGTGTGGCTTTGGCCTTGTGCTTCGGGTCATTGTCCTTCTGAATTGTGAATTTTCGACTTTTATATTACTGACTGACTCAAGCAGATTCTCCTCTAGGATTCGGCTATACTTTGCACCATCCATCTTCCCCTCAATCCTGACAAGCTTCCCAGTTCCTGCTGATGAGAAGCATCCCCGTAACACCATGCTTGACAGTTTAGATGGTGTTTATTGGGTGATATGCTGTGTTGGGCTTACGCCAGACGTAAAACTTTGAATTTAGACCAAAAAACTTTTTTTCTTGTCTGACCACAAAACCTTCTTCCACATGTCTGCAGTATCATTTACGTGCTTTGTCGCAAACTCCATACGAGATTTAAGATTATTCTTTTTTTCAGTAATGGCTTCTTTCTTGCCACTCGCCCATACAGACCTGCTCTGTGTAGGGACCAGGATACTGTCGATGTATGAACATTGACTCCCATCTCAGACATGAAACTTTGTAGATCTTTCAAAGTCACTTTTGGTTTCACAGTGGCATCTCTAACCAGTTTCTTGCTTGCCCGGTTGCATTGTTTGAAAGGGTAGTCTGATCTGGGTGGTATGAAGCACATTCTACTTCTTAATGATGAACTTCACCATACTCAAAGGGATAATCAGCGACTTAGAAACATTCTTGTAACCTTCTCCTGGTCTGTGCTTGTCTATAACTTTATCCCTGACTTGCTTGGAAAGCTCTGTGGTCTTCATGGTTAGTTTGTCGTACCACTATGTGAGTTGTGGCTTGAAAAGATTCTGTGGAATACATTTCCTGAATCTACATTTTTCGGATAGTTTTGAACTTAACTGCTGGATATCAATGGACCTGAGGCTAAGTACCACATGACTGGCTAAATAATAAATTAAAAATATCCAAAACCTACTATTGCCTAACTAGCATTTTTATACTTCCAAATAATTTCCTAAACTTTCAAGAATATTTCAAGCGTTAAGCGATGCGTTTATCTCGTGACGAAACAGCAATATACACATCTAAATTAAGAAGAAAAAAAAGCTTGTAACATAAGGGCTTATAATGGTTGGAGACGGCTTGAATGGGTAATGAAGAAAAACTTTAATATACGTTTAACATAACAGCAAATGTACAACGTTTCGACAA